TATCGAACGAAGAATGGAACTGACTGAGGGCAGAATCGATTGAAGGCAATCGGGGATGAACAGTTTATGGAGGATCTCTCGAGAATATTCGTGCCTCCATCCCACGACAAGGGACCGGAAGCGTGAACGGGAACGGGACATCCTACTCGCGTAAGTTTCCGTTTTGTTTCCGGCGACATTTTTTCGCGCGCGGTCCAGGCCGAGGGGCGAACATACGGTTTGGTTCAGGCAGAGGCGGCGGCAGAGGCATTCTCGATAATTATTTTGAAACTTCGAGGCCTCGAGACGCCCGATCCGCAATCGCCAGAGGAGACGGGGAATACACAGAGCGCTGTCATAAGAGACAAGACCGACAAAGGGACATTGGACGGCAGAGGCGGGTGACGAAACGCTTTTGAAAGAAAGAAAGAGCTCACGAGCGGCGACGGCTGCCCGTGAAGACGTCAGAGTTGCTGAAACCGTCTCCGAGCCAAGGCAGCCCTGAACGTCGCTAAAAGCCGTTCCGAATCGGGAACGTAGCGGCGTGAACGCGGAGCTGTGTGACGTCGGGCTGGGAGCTGGGGAATAGATTGCGGACTCGTTCTCAACGGAGCGGAACAACAAGCGTCTTCTCCATTCGTTACGTACGTCGCTTCTTGTCCGCTCGGAAATCCATCGGCTCCGAAAGGGCCGGGAAAAAGCGGAGGTCCAATCCAGATTCAAAGGTCACCGAGCTGCGGGTGAATATCTTGGCCTCAGTCATACGAGTCCTCGCATGCTCCTAAAACCGGCCACGAGGAGGGTCCTATCATCTGATGCCGAAGTCCGTGACGAGTCACCATCTTCTTCCGACGGATCCCCGCCAACTCCCGTTCTTAGTTCCGATATCCAGAGATCGATGTTCGTACTTGCTTGTCTCCGTGTTTCCTCCACCATCAGAACCAGTACCGATCGCGGATGTAAGTGCGTGGATCCCGAATCTTCCTCCGGCACCGAGAGTTTCTCGCTAACGCTCCCCACCTCCGTTCGTGCCGTTCCGAGCGGTTCGGGTGGCGAAAATCATTATCGTGGTTTCGTTCGCGTAGATACGTTTGACCACAATTAAGCCTCATGATTCGAGTCGGCTTGTTCTTGGTAAATTATTAATAAGGACCGATATGCTAATTGAAAGTCACGTATGGTTGACGATTGGGAGCTCCCTCTCCCAATGTCCGCCAGTCGACCCATCAATTACCCAATCATCTAGCAATAAGCTGAAACGCGCTCTATCGTTGTCGCTAGCGAGTTCGTAAATCATTACCACATCCATTAGCAGATGACCTTACGGGCTAACTCTCACGACGAGATGGAGATTTGAGGGAAAATTAGGGGTTGCACGAGAACCCGAGGCAAGGTTAGAGAAAACGCGAGAGTAGGTGCCGCGAGCTCGCCCTGGTCGGCCCACAACTTGTTACAGGCGTTAGCGGAATGTGAGCAAAAAAGAAGGCCTGTGTACAAACCTTTATGAAAGTTGTCATGTACAAGAGACGTGCGCGCTGCTGGTCCCTCCGATGATTTGATTGCTCTGCGATAGATGAGATGAGGGTGGGGCTCGCTCGAGTTAGTATAGCCTTTCAATGGCTCTATGAGGTAGTCTGTGTTCTCCATTTGAATTAAGCCCGTCTGAAAAAAGGTCACATCGACATGATTAATCACCGGCCGCCATTCACGCCACCCGACAGCATCTGATCCCAGGGTTACGGAACTTTACTGCTAGGCTCCACACGGCTGCGTGCGGAGACAGTAGCTCAGGTCACAAAGAGCGGGACTCGAGCCGCTGTTATTCCCGAGCCCGCGTCGATTCTCTTGATTGCTGTGCTTGAGGGGAATACAGCGACTTGGGCGGATTATGAACAGGCTTGTCTGCGAGTGGAATTCCATTAGGAACGGTGACGGACGCTTCACCTGTCCTCTCTCCGCTCCACCGCTCCGGTCTCTACTCAGGTAGAGTAGAGACTGTCTGGCGCCTTAAGTAGCGCCGACGTAGGTTTCACGGCTCATTAGGACAGTTGTGTGGTAAGCTGAGATTCTGTGCCGTGCATGACTTGAAACAGCTTTCAGTCAGCTCGACGTTCTTCGGTTGAATTGCCGGTTCACTGTTCGATCGTACACTTGACAGATTGGGTTTGTGTCGAGCAGGTTCTTAACGTCTCGATTGGGAGAGACCCGATGCATGGGCGATGCTCGATGTGACTTCGGATCGGGTCAGCGGTGCTCAGAGTCGCGAGTTGTAGACCGGTGATGGAGAGCGACAAATGAATGCGGCCGGGAGTTACGACTACAATAGCCGCGACAATGATGAGAGCACTGCGCGGGGGTGGAGCGGTACAGAAGAATGTCTCCTAATTGTTGTTGGTCTTTGTCCTCCGGGAGCCAGCCGGGCGGTGCCTGTCTTCCCGACCGGGCCTCGAGAACCTCCAAGCTTCCGAACCCCACCCGAGGAGGTCTCGTAAGCGATCATATAGGACGTAGCTCGCCTAGAAAATTACTGAGGCGACCTGGTGACTTGACGAGGTTCTCGTTCCTGACCATCAATTTAGGAGGATGGGAAAATTCTCCTCCTCGAGTTTTAAACTCCTTGAACTCGTTAATGCGATCGTGGTACCTGTCACTCCCGGAGAGCGGTTCGTTGAGCAATCGACGACTTGACGATCACTTTCCGGTGCGTAATCAGAGCATAGATTACAGCGTTTCCTCCGATGGCCGGAGAAAAGGCAATTCTCTTTGAAGATCGCGAGATGCCCCGTCAGAGCCGGTGGAGGTATTCAGAAGGGAGGGGGGAGGGGAGAGAAAGGGGGGGATTAGCGGGGCGGGGGGAAGCAGAAGCAGGACGAAGGGAGGATGAAGACTGAAGGAAATCAAAGATGGCGCGAGTTGGGGAAGCTGCTACTCCCCGAACTTTTGAGCGAGGTTTCATGCGTTTCTGACGCAATCCGGTGATATTCCTTGGGAAATTCTCTCGTGTGACCGTGCTCGCTAGCGTTAGCCTCGACGTTGCCCGAGGAAAGATGGGAGAAGGAACGGAAAATAGGGGAGAGGGAGGAGTTTCTAGGATCGCCTCCAGTCGACGGGGAATCGCTATCAGGTATCTTACGGTCGAATTCTCGGATTTTAAGATGAAAATCCCCGTCTCCCGGAGTGGAGACGAGCAGAGCGTTCTACGATCGACTCCAGCCCCTGCTGGTTTAGCAGGAATCAGTGGAGATAATTTTGTCTATCCTCCGCGGACAGGTGAGGAAGTGCTCGTTTCGCTCGTACTGAGTTCTGCAGCCGTGAGACCTTCGGGGCGACAACGTGAAGATCAAGCTGGCGACAGGAGCCAAGCACTCTGCCCCAAAGCAGACCGCAGAGCTCGTAAACATTCTTCGGTGAGCGCCGCTACGGAATTCTCCATTGAATGTTATTGACTCGAGAGGACGTCGTCGCGCCTCCAACTAATTGAATGGCCACCCTCGTTCGTCGTCTGCCCGACAGCCGCCTGAACCAGTGGATTGAGGGCGATCGGGAGGCGATGGTACGGCCGGCGTTCGAGCGTCAGTACCGAGCAACCGGCGGCGGGCTAGTCAGTCAGTTCTCTCGGGACTTTACTTGTCAACGCGGAGGGATACAATGGACGATATTAGAGGAAAAGAGATTTCATTCCCTCAGGATAAGCTTATTCAGATGGCGACACAAACTCCGCTGGCAGCCTTCTCGACCAAGTCTTACTCGTCCGCCGGGACTTCGAACGAACGGACGGACGAATGAACGAGCCGGCCAGCGGGCGGGCCGCCGAACGAACGAACAAACGAGCGGTCGAACAAACGGAGAGTCTGCACAACAATAGCGTTCCGCACAAATGCCGACCAGGATGATGGAGTTTCGTCCACATCGCGATGCCAGCGTTGACAGCCAGCATGACGAAACCGCTTGAAGTTTGACCCGGCTGATCAAGATGGCGATTCAATGGATGCTTACCCGCGGACGGTGGATCGAATCTTCTACCTTGAAACCTGAGCACGAATTCCCTCGCATACACGAATCCTCGCGGTCCCTCCGACCGGGGTAGCATTCCGCACGGAGTTTCCCGGTCAATAAGCCGGAATTCCGCACGAGGAAAGCGCAGAGCTGCTGGCCCAGGAAGCCCCTCGGAAAATTCCCTCGCATCGATCCTCGGTCCGGACTTACTTTCCATCCGGGCTCGACTCTGTGAATAGACTGAGTGCCGGCTGACTAAGGAACTGGACGAATGTTCGTCAATGCTGAGCGAATCTGTCCGGGACATCATATGTACATATGTATTCAGAAGGAAGCGGTTTTAGAGAGGACAAGATGGGAGCAAGCGAATCCTCCGAAGGGAGGAAAACCCTGAACGCGCCGTGCATTCGAAAGCAGAGTTGGCTCCGAGGATGATTTTGAATATTTTTGCTCAAAAGCAGCCTTTCCTTCTGGGAACGGGAACCGAGGACGGAAGAGCCCGAGTTATATTAGAAGCGGAACGGAAGTAGAACAGGAGCTGTTCAGAGCATGACGGGGAAACGTAGCTGGGGAGAGGTGCACGCAGATAGCAAGATGGGAGGAATGATTGGAAGGATGGGCTACTCGAAATGAGTATGACGGGATTCGAAAGCGAAACGAAGCGGTGTGAGAAGCAGTGGTACTCAAGGAGGAAGGGAGACCGGGAATCCATCTGGGAGCCCTCCCTAATTGCGGGATACGACTCCAAGTCGCTTACTCAATCCAGACGGCTGTCGGCTGCACATTGATATCTATGAAGGGCAGCACAAAGCAATGACGAATGTTACGCCCCTCTCTGCCAATAAGCTCGCTGTCCGACGTCTGACCGTACGAATCCCCTGAATATCCTAAGGAGGGTGGTTAGTACCACAAATGAGACACTGCGGGCTATTCCCGTGGTGAGCTACCTGTTCTGAAAATACCACTCATGGGACGTCTGCTGCCTAGCTGATTCTAGGTAGGATGCCAACCACCCCCAGGCGAGGTATGGGACGCTATGGAATACTCGTGTCTGTTCTCGCGAGTGACTGTCCCAAAATCGGTAAGCCTCCCCTTCCCCTCTCGCTTAGGTTAACAGCAAGTGAATCGAACTTACGAGACCGTTGCAGGTAGAGATAGTGGCCTGGGCAATTGGATAGCTATCGTTGACTCTTCGTAAAGTTCCTCTGAAATGGCATCGGGTGGCTTTCCCGGTGCCAACTCGGACATGTTTGACACCGCCTTCCCGATGACGCTCGACGACCAGGCCGTCGGAGATGAATTCTCGATTCGGTTGCAGCGTGATGTGATAATGGGAACCTTCGATTGGCAGCTGATAATGTAGCTGTTCGACATCTTGTTCGAACGCTGAGGCACTTCGGCGGGTGATCCGTCTGCGGAAAGGCGGAGAAACATGATCCGTTCCTTGTTGGTCCTTTGAGCTGTGCTTCACTTCATGAGAGACGAATTCGCCTTCTGTGGTGACTCTGCTCGGATGCACAACTTCAAACCAGTCCAGTCCCGAGATGAATTGCTCTGCGAGGGAAAAACAAATCATTTAGTGAGAATGGCCCCACAAGCAACGTGTCGGGCTTCGGAAGCTCTTCGCCATCGCTATTAGTTCCCTCATGAATTCTTTCCTTCCCGCCGAATCACTCATTTAGGAGTGTAGGAGCAGTCCCCTCCATTTATGCGTCTTATGAAATCCTGACTACCTTCTTCGCCTCCGAAGCGTCTCTGGGAAGTCTTCCCGCCGTCTTCTCGAGCGGGTGGACAAAACTCTTTCCATCTAACACCGTCTCGGATTCACCAGCGGAAGCGTGGTCTGTGTTCACTCTTCTCACGGAGCAGTAAAGCTCGGCCGGCACAACGAAAGGCAAGCGAGGCAAACGGGCAGCACAATACCGCCGAGAAAGACTGTTCGCTGCCTGTCCCCATTGTTGTGGTTTGGATTTTATATGAAGAACTTATAAATCTCCCCACTTGACGCAAACGAGTCAAGGGAAGCTGCACTGGACTGCAGGAACCTCACCGACATACTGTCCACTCGAATTTATTAAAGAAGGATTTATCCATAGTGATCTGGAATTTATTTCATTCCCGCATCCCCCTCCCTTGTCTACATACGCAGACCGCCCGATGATCCCGTGCATGGTGTCGCATCCCGACGTTTCATTGACCTCCATTCTGCTCTGAGGTCAGAGAGAGAGGGAAATATTACTTTCATGGTGGTGGAAAATAACCTGTCCTGCCTCGGTGGGATGCTCCTGCCGGTGATGGTGGAGGTTATTGGAGGGACTCGATTGCAGGAGATCTCAATGAAAGATCCACTCGGGAAAGGACAGCCCACGAGCCGAGGCTACCGAAAGGAACGCAGCCCAACGATTATCTCGCGAGCAAGGTTAAAAACGGCTCAAAAGTAGATCAAGTCTAGAGCAAGAGAACTTAGCAGGTCTTGTTATCCACCCGCGGGTCCGGGCTCCGGATCTGCGGCGCCTCGTCTCTCTTGCTCGTCGCTGAAATAGATGAATGAACGCCCACTCGTCTATCGACCCGATTCGGGCTTGTTCCATTCGTTTCTTTTCCGAATTGACATTGGAGCTCTAATTATTTTCGGAGACATTCGCCAATCGAATCGATAAATAAATAATTGAATCGACCCGGTTCGGCGAGGGAATCGTTTCGCTTCCCCCTCGACGTCTAGCAAATTCGATTGGTCACAGTTTTCGGGCCGGAAGCCGCGTTTCGCGGAAAAAAAGTCGGGCTTGCAATCGAAAACTATGTACAACATTCGTGTCTGTAGATTACGGCCGACTTCCTGATGAGCTCGGTGAACGACGTGCGAAACGATCCTCGGAACGCTTGCGAAACCCAAGCCGACGTCGGATCGAAAGAGGGATCTGAGACAAGATCCGAGCGGCACGAGTAGCGTATTGAGTTTCCAGCAGCGAGTGATTCCGAAACAAGCGCCGATCATTCCGTTCTGCTACATTTGCTTCTCCGTGCTGGTTGTTACGCGGAAGCAGCCTGAAGTCAGGCTTGGAATATTTATTTTCTGAAGAGCGGGTTCCCTGCCGATATTTCGTCTCGACTCACAACGACGTTCGCCCCCTGTACCCCTCCTCAGACAATTGCGATTCTGAATCTCGAATCTCCAACCACAGATCCCGATGAGAGGCAATCACGACTGTCAACTCTGGTGACATTTTCTCCGACTCGCATTGAGACTCGACAAAAATATATCGACTCTTCGAGCTCGCGAGCTCAGGACCCCGGAGAGGGTCGAGATGCTTCACATACGTCGAGGTCGACGCTTGAGGTATTTGCCATCGGGCTGACTCCGCAAACCCGGTTTTATTCGATTGTTTATTCATCTGAATCACTTTTGCTCTTGAGAAGCAATTGTTTCCGGGGGCATTCTCCGCAAATATTGGAGCCCACGCGACTCCGAGCATCACAACCACGGAGATCCAATCCTGCTCCATTATTTCCCGGCGATATGTCAGACACGACAGCAACGGCCATCGGAAGTTGGCGAGCTCTCTCTCGGTCATCGAACGCGGCGAGATTTTATTTGGTAGAGATGTATCAGTTCGAAAAGTGCATTTGTAGCAAGGCGCGGGCGTCTCCCTTGTTTTGAAGACATCGGTTAGCGACTCTGTTCTCGTCCTCGACGAGCTGACGCCGACGGCGGCGAAGGTTGCCGCGCAATTGTTTGTTGTTCGGTGAAAATCACAGTGAGCGTTTCACGACGCTGACACAAGGAGTGATTTTTTCCCGTCTCCGTCGCAATACCGCGCGAGATTCCGCCGATGAGGTTTCGCAACGGTGATTCTGATCGTTGCTCCTCAGAGTCCGAGACTCGATTTCGGGCACTCCGCTACTCCGCTCCCGCTCGGGCTTTTGGGGGAGCCTGAACGCCTCTGAGGCCACCTCGCGGCTCCAAAGAAGAGATGGACTCGATTTAGAGCGATTCTCGCTCGATCTATTGAACAGCTGCTCGGGTTGACGTCGTCTTCTCTTGTAAGCGAGATCATATACGCGCTTGGAGATATACGGTCGTGATATGTTGATAAGATACAATACATAAGCGATGGCGCTGCATATCGTCCTCTCCAAGAGGACCACGGAGGGGAGCTCGTAGGGCGACATAAAAATAATCTATCCCAGTGAGATAATGTTTTTTCCCCGCCATGTCTCCCTGATACTTCAACGTCAACGGCTCTCTCGCACTCCCTCTTCTCTTATCGCGTTAGGCTTCAGCCCCCGGATTCATTTATCCCACCGGCTTCTGCGCTACCTGTTCCATCTGGGCAACGTCGCCCGCTGGGGCACAAAAGTCATCCTTTCCGTCACCGTGATCCCTCGATTCCCGGAGGGCTCCCGTTCGGAGTTTCCGGCAATCAAGATTGCCTATATAAATTATTCATACATTATTCTTATTCATAAAAGGACGAGCCCGGCGGAAAATGATCATTTTGATGCATAAACCATCCTGTTTTGAGTGTCCACGATCATCGCGAATGAATACTTTTGTAAGTGAGCCCAGTAGACAGTCTCTGGAATTCCCACACCCGCGGTTGGCGCCGTCGACCAGATGAAAGGCTATGAGGCGGCGAGAACGAGCGGAACAGGCAGGGAGAGCGGACAGGAAATAAGTTTGTGAGCTTGGTCACGAGACAAAAATGTCCGCTATTCCAAAAAGGTTCCGTTTCAACCTCCCCGGTGCACCGAGACGGTAGCACCCGAATCAGTCGCTGCTAACGAGGAAGCGATGTAGCATCAACATTCTAGAATGTGTGCCTGACTTGGGGCTGACTCGAGACTGACTGACCGACTGACTGGCACCAGACTCCAACCGAAATAAGAATCGACGCACGCATCCCACCCAGCTCGAATACACAAACGCATCATCGAGCGTAATACAAGGAACGAGTCGCTGTCGACATACATAAGTCGTTCCCGTCGAAAACTCTGGATTTCCGTCGATATCGGCTTTGGAAGAGGCCCTGAAAAATTGAAAATCTGGGCGCTTCGCTGGAGTTTACGCTGGCAGCTCCCGATGCGGAACAGCTGAACTTCAAATATTCTCAAGGTGGACCTATCAAATTACCAGATACCCGAGGAGGCTCGCGTGATACCGAATCTCTCGGGAAAAAAAAACACGATAGACCGCCGTTCCTCAGAAATTCCACGGCCTCATGCGGCGAGGATTGTGAATTTCGCCCTACAATTTCCAAAATCTAGGAAACCACATCTGATAATCAATGTATCGTCAGAAATCTGGAAATATCGCACGCAGTTGTGACGACCGCTCAATTCTAGAGGCTGCAAAAGGAGCTCCGCCAGAAGAAGTCCGAAGGGCTCAAAAGAATAAACGAGAACTCTCATGAAGTCATGCCCTCCGAGTCTGTGCGAGTGTATCGCGGGAAAAGGGAGACGTCCGCTCGAGCTTGAGGGCAGTCTCCTTCTTTGACGCGCTGTGACGAGCTGATTTCAAAGCGTTCTGGGAAGCAATTATCACAGCTGACCGGCTGTCCATTGTTGTGCAAATAGATAGCCCGCTTACTGTCTAGAACGTCCCCATGACGGCTCGAGAGTCAGCATGGGGCGAGCCCACCAATCAACAGATTGTGTCCCTCGAGGCAAGTTCGATGGCCATGCTGTAAATTGATATGTGTTTTCCAGAGATTGTCGCCCGTCGCCATCGGCTAAGACGGACGGCCCTCCATGAGCTTTGGAACTAACAATAAGTTCCGGCTGTCGGTTGAGTACGGACTCTCGGGCGGAGTATCAAGCAGTTCCGCATCCGGCTCATGGAATTCATTCTGCGCAGGATCTGGGATGTTCTCTTGCCATCGGAGGTCGACCTTCCTCCCTGGAGAACTGTTTGAAGTCGTCGATCGCTCAATTATGATTATATGTTCGAGATTGAAATTTGTTCCTCTCTTGAGCAAAGCGCTGAGTTTTCCAACGCCAGGCTTCGCAGAGTAAATGGATCTTTAGCCCCAAACAGATTTCCGATTCGTCACTGTCGAGCCCCGGATTTCCGTGCTCGACCGGAGACATGATCCGGCTCGCTGTGGCATCCCTTAGATAATATAGAACACCGAATGTTCAGTTGAATTGGTGATTCGGTGATCGCTCCGTCGATGCAAGACAGGAATATTATTTGAAGATCTGTCGGAAAAAAATCGGAACTTGCCCAGCGGGATTCAAGTCGAGGGATGCTGCGGGCAGTAACTCCCGGGGATTAGTTTATTGATTCGTTAATTGATAGCTCCATGGATCGCGAACTCGATCGATCGGTTTCTCGATTCATCGCACGTCGTCCCGGGGAGAAGGATCCAAATATCGACTTGGGCGTCTGACGTGTCTGCTGGCCTCTCAAGTCTAGCGGATCCTCCTCTCTGGAGAGAACGTTCCCTCACTACATCATTTTTAGTTCATTTAGTCAGGCGGTATATTTATTCAGCCAAGAACGCGTGGAATCGAGGACCCGGAGGACTCATAGCCAAATGGATTGCGGATCAGAG